GCTGTCTAAGCTTCACGAGCGCGCCAGCTCACTTTCCCCGTCTGCGCGTCCTAAAGCGTTTGATCAGCGCCACTGCTCTGCCAACTACTATGTTCAGCAAAACGTCCGAATAAACAAAATCCAGTAGAAGATTGTGTGGTGTGTACTGCCTAATGCTCAGCAGTTCATCCCTGGTAAAACTGATCGTGTTTGAGAAACAAAAAACAGGAAAAACTAACAAAAACTGGAGCGCCAAACACTGAGGCGGCCGTCTGCGGCGCCATCTTGTTCTATTAAAAACATAATACACACATTCATAAGACACACGGTTGAGACACATGTTATTACCAAGTATAAATGCTGATCTGTCTCAGCTGACCACTTGTGATCGGATCACCCAAGACGATATTAACATCGGAAGCAGAGCATCCACTGTTGGAAAGGTCAGGATCGAGATGATGACCTCTCCAAGACTGTGCTGCTGAATGTGGAATTAGGGTATTCCATATTTATGCTCATACAATGTTCTAGTTATGAAACTTCTATGGAAATTGTTCAGATTTTAAAATAGTGACTCTATTATTTGCTTGTGTTTGTGTAGGTTCAATTCTTGAATGTGTTATTTTGCTTTAAAATGTGCCAGATCACAACTCACAACACTGCATTCTCAGTACTGCCACAAGAGTCACAGCGACGGTTAACACAGACTGACTTGTATGGTCTTTTTTTCTCTTTCAGTTCTACTACTGTGATGGTTGAGCAGCAGTTGAAAAATTATCTTCAAAATGTTGCTCTGCTATGTCAGTAGTTGACCTTTACGTAACAAAGTGTTTATGTAACTAGCTTACTTGTTCATCTTATAGATTCTTAAGTTCTCTTCAACTTAAAGTTACTGTCAGCATGTTTATAGCTAGCTACCTGAATCATAATGCATCCAGTTTAATGGCACAGATATTAAGGGAACTCTATTGCCCCCTTGATTACTGGAGTAGGTCACTGATATGCAAAAACGCACATTAAATGTGCACATGTCAACATGCTTGCAATGCATTAGCCAAGTATTCGCATCAGTGTCTGCCCTTGTTTAGTTTAACTGAATGTGCACTTGTAGTGTACTTCAAATCTTAAAACTAAAACAAATATACTTGCAGATAATGTAAAAGTAAGGAAACAAAAGGCCACTTAGTGTACTTAAAGAGAGTACACTTTCATTACTATGTTTCTTAACACACCTAAGCACACTCTGTAATAATGTCAAATTTGTACATTTAAAAACAACTTTAAAACAATTTGAAAGCATTGTTTAATAATCTTTTATCGTATTATTTATTAAGTACACTTAATTTAGTGTGTTTACTAACATACTAAACACACGTAAAGTACTTGATTATAAGTTTAACTAGTGTTATTCAGTTTATATAGTACAACAACTTAATTGTTACAAATATGTAATTGCAAATCTATTTTAATACATGACATACACATCTCAAAGTATATTTTAGTTTAGATGCTTGTCAGTACATTCGGCCGTGCACTTGAACCATACTTCGAAAACAATAGAATTTATTATGAAATTACATATGATGAAAGATGATGTACTAAAAGATGTATTTAGGTCTTACTTAAGTGGGTCAAAAAATAATTTGAAATAATACATTTTCATTTAATTGCAATTAACATGCTATTAAGTATTCAAAAACATTATATTCAGTGCACTTACGTTTATTCTTTTAAAATATATTATTTTTATAACAGCATCACCCGGTCTTAATATTCTGGATAATACACAGTATACATGATAACACCATGTTTTTCCACTACTATGATGCAATACCATGGTATTATGAACTGTCACATCATATGGACATGAACATATGAGTTTTTGTAAGTACATGAAAATCGTTCAGTATCATGCTATTTTGAAAGCACCATATTACAATTTGACGCCGCCGTCACTGTCCCATGGTGCACCAATCCCTAAACCACTGTCCTGACACTCTCAATGCAATCACCTTCTGGACTGCTTCAAAGTCAGCCACTGTGTTTAATGCTAATGGTTTCTGGAGGGCATCTGAGGAGAGATTTGTGGGTAAATAAAGCCACACTGAGTGTGCCCTGTCCAATAAACATCTTACAGGAGCCATTTGTCACTACAGCAACCCCAGAGTGCCCCTGCCCTCACGGCCCGATTGATCAGTTCTGTGCAGTAAACAGCGCTGAGCTCTCCATCACTTCGCCCAGGGACGAAACTGCTTTGTCAGCGGCCTCATGGTTTCCTCCTGCCAGTCAACAGCCGTGAGGAGGAGCCGATCAATGGTGGGAAGCTGAACTATACATTACAGTGATGAAGAACCAGTACTAGGTCTTAAAGGGGCATTTTGGTGCAAAAAAAAATTTTCTGAAATGTTTTGTAAGAGAAACAAGTTGAATATGACCAGTTTTGGGGAAGTTACTTTTAAAAGTAATGCATTACAATATTGTGTTACTCCCTAAAAAGTAACTAATTGCGATACTTAGTTGATTTTTATAGAAAGTAATGTGTTATGTTACTTTTTCTCATCTGGGCTAGGCTTGCTTGTTTGTTTTTAATATAAAAAAATGATATTTTTGGCACAAGTAAAAGCCCTTTCACACCAAAAGTGAAATGAATAAGCCTCAGGCTGAAGGAAATGTAAATTCATGTCTGTACAGTAGAAAGCACAGCTCAAACAAACCTTACAGCTGTGCTGACATTCTGGATTGCATGAAGAATAGGACGCAATAGAAGAAAGTTTAACACTCTTCAGCAATTTAAGAAAAAAAAAGTTATGTTTATCTAAAGTCATATTTGCTTATTAGTATGGTTGAATTGGATCATCGAAGGTCAGCACTAAAGACATTGGTTAATAAAACGGGATGAAGAGCGTTTAAGCTCAAAACGTCACCTGTGGTGAGAACATAATTAAATACTTCTCTATCTCTGGAGCTGTGGTGTGCCAACTTTGATGTTTTCTTTCTTAATAAAACGGGATAAAATACTTAAAGGATATTTGTGTTATTTACCATATCTAATTATTGCAGGTTTGTGTCATATTCTAAGTTTGCATTTCACTGATATTTAATGATTTTGAGGAATACTGAATCTGTTTTTGTGCAGGTGAGATGAGTAAATGCATGTTCACATTTAGTCTAGAACTACAAGTACAATCATGTTCACACAGCGCACACAACGTCACTGCACTTATGCTGCGTTCAAGTCCTCCTGGGATGTTCGTACTTACGAGTTGACAAGTCGTAATTACGACGTCAGGTGCGTTCAAGTCAGTTTAGTCGGCACAAGATGGCGGTGTACCTTCTTTTAATAAATTACAAGAAAATACAGCAGGGTCTGTTAACTCTGCTTATAGAAAATGAAGAGCAAAAAATTCGCATCAGGTGTGTTTTGCGTTTTTAATATTTTTAAAAAGTAATTTATGAAGCCACTTTAATCTGTATCGCATCAAAACTTCATAAAAAACTATCAATTTAAACAAAAATTTACCGTTAGATGTTGCATCCATCGATTCCGCCATGTTTCTCATTGACACGCCCACAACTCGGAAACTCGGGCTTAAAGAAAATTTCGAGTTTCCCACTCATAATAACGACTTTGTGGTGGCGTTCATGTGCGTTCAACTCGTAAATACGATCTATCCGACGTGACTTGAATGCACCATTACTCCCGATTTCTCTCAACATGGAGACATTTCAGTCAGTAAAAGGGAAAACAAAGTGGCTGGCATTACTTATTTGAAAAAGTAACTCAGATATTTTTTGTATATTTAAAAGCAGTGTGTTACTTACTAGTCACTTGAAAAAGTAATCTGATTACATAACTCACGCTACTCGTAATGCATTACTCCCAACACTGAATATGACTGTTACATGGGACTCTGCCCTTTAAAAGTTCTTTCTAGAAATAATCATTATATTTGATTATGTAAATGAGCTTCATTTTGCCTAGTTGCACTGAGAAGACAAAAACTGTTGCCAGCCATATAAAACAAGCAGAAGGTTCTGCAATATGATCAACAAATTTTAACCCTGTACTATAATTGTCACTACACCAAATGACAATCTCACAGGTTTCATAATTTTCAATATCACAACATATCGAATTAATAATTTAGGCTAATTAATAAATTTATAACAAATTATATAACTGCTTTAAGTATATCCAACTTTACCCAGACACATCCAGTTCACTTTCAGTACAGTAAAAGCTATATGTTCTATATCATTGAAAAATTTAACTATATTACTGCCCAGCAATATACAGTATTAAAAGTTGGATACATAGTGCATCCTATTTTTCCTGCATAAATACAGTATACTCACATAAAATCACTGTATACCATATATCAAATCTCAGCTGCGTGATTGTTTATATCACTACGTAATGTAAATTGCAATGACATAAACTCATTTTATTATATCTAAATTTACTTGTGTACTAACGTAAAGCAATGTATACTACAACTGGCTAATTTTTTATAATATAGTTATGTCCAACTTTATGTGCAAACAGACAGTATGCCCGACATGTCCCATACAGCAAATCTCAACAGCTTGATTAATTGTCACAAAATGCAAACTATTTTTACCAGCTAAATAATCTGCTAAATGCGACTATAATGCATGAAGATATTGAGATAGTATGAACACTAAAATCATGATTTTCTTTAAAGCTGCTTTGAAACAATGTGTATGAAAAGCGCTATGCGAATAAATTTGACTTGACTTGACCAACTGGTTGCATCAGCAATAAACTATACAAATATGCAAGACCAAGTGGTAATACTCATATTATCTATTGTAATCAAAAGCCATTTCTATTACAATCCTAAAAACCCCAAGCTGTCAAATCCTGGTTTGGAAAAAGCAAAAACACCGAGTTGTTTTGCTGAACACTGTTAAATAAGACAAGGTGCGATAAGATCTGTCATGTGTTTTGGGACTGAAGGGTGAAGTTATATAAGAAAGTAGGCGATCGGCACTCTTACTCAGTATTACGTGCGTGATGACGAAGGAGAAGATGAAGATGGTGAGGAAGGAGAGTGAGAGGATGAACAGGTAGAAGAAGCGATAGTTCCTCCTCCCCACGCAGTTGCCCACCCACGGGCAGTGATGATCAAATCTCTCTGAGGAGAAACGCACAGCCAGGAAAATCATATGCTAGCTCTTCTTGACTATTATATAAACGTATTTGCAGACACACAGAGTATACACAGACTCTTACCCACGCAGTTGTCACACAGGCTGCAGTGTGAGGCCCGCGGTGGTCGGAAGATCTTGCAGGTGAAACAGTATTTTAGTTTGACTGTTTGACCGTTAATGAGCACCTCTCTGGTTCGGGGTGGTGGCCTGTAGCCTGGGCCGCTCGGGCCGTTGGTTGCATCTGTGAAATCAGAACAGACCGATTCAGACATCCAATCTTGCAGAAAATGTAAAAACAGATGGAAGAGGAAATCTCTTCTATGCTATGGCAGTTTAAAGATCTGCGAAATAGAAAACAGAAAATAATTTAGACGTGTCCTTCAGTTTGTAAAAACAAAATTGGTATTTACAGAAGAGCACTTGCAATGGAAGAAGGCGTTTCAGAGGGTTTAAATGCTAGATGAGTTGTCTAAATCCTATTACTTTATACAGCATATGAGTATGCATATAACTTGTGTATATAATGTTTTGTGGCTGTACTTTCAAAACAGCAACATTTATCAATTGGTGATTTCGTCTTGGCCTATAGACATCCATTATACATGCATTACTGTACATTATTGTTTTTACTAAATGAAGCATCAATTGGCAGCATGTCACAGATACTGAACCTCAAAAATTTGCATGCCTATTATTAACATTTTGGCTGTTTATTAGTACTTATAAAGCACATATTCTGCATGAGCATATTCTACTTCCCTACTCCTACCCAATACCTAAACTTAACAACTACCCTACTAACTATTAATAAGCAGCAAATTAGGCAAAATTTTAGGCAAAAGTTGTAGTTAATGGTTTGTGTTAATGGCGATAACTAGACCTTAAAATAAAGCGTGACCAAAAATCCTGACTTGACCTTTATTCAAAACCATATTATAAAAAAAATAAATAAATTATTAGACACAAAAAGAAATAAAACATTTTCACTATTAATGTATTACAAAACTATCAACTATCAAAAGTAAGTTTTATAAAGACAAATGATAGCTTTGGGTTAAAAAAATGACTGCATCTGAACTGCAGCTTTATTCAGCAAATATTGATTAACTTGATCAAAAGTGACAGAAAGGTCTTTTGCATTGTTACAAAAAATATATATTTCAAATAGATCCTGAAAAAATGTTTCAGTTTTCACAAAAATATTAAGCAGCACAACTGCTTTCAACATTGATAATAATAAGAAATGTGACCACCAAATCAGCATATTAGAATCATTACTGAACACCGAAGACTAGAGTAACGACTGCTGAAAATTCAGCTTTGCCACTACAGGAATAAATATCATTTTAAAATATATTAAACCAGTTATTTAACATTGTAAGAATATTTTACAATATTACTGTTTTAACTGTACTTCTAATCAAATAAATGCAGCCTTGGTGAGCATGAGAGACTTCTTTCAAAATATAAAACAACATCTTTTAAACAGTAGTAAATGCACTATTGATGGCAATGATGTTTGGTCACAAGATACACAAGAGCCAATGGAATTTGGCCTCAGTGGTGTCAATTTTTGCGGTCAGGAGGAAGATGATCAATATGAATAACTTAAAGGGGTCATATGATGCTGCTAAAAAGAACATTGTTTAGTGTATTTGGTGTAATGAAATGTGTTTATGCGGTTTAAGGTTAAAAAAAACATATTATTTTCCACATACTGTACATTATTGTTTCTCCTCTATGCCCCGCCTTTCTGAAACGCGTCGATTTTTACAAAGCTCATCGGTCTGAAAAGCGAGGTGTGCTGTGATTGGCCAGCTATCCAGTGCGTTGTGATTGGCCGAATTCCTCAAGCGTGTGACGGAAATGTTATGCCCCTTGCCATACTGTGATGCCGTGTCCGGCTGGAGCCATGAGACAAAAACATTAAAACCCATTATAAACTAGGCATTTGTTGCATCCAGTGGGGACATAATTACTCCGCGGCGGCAACAGCGAGAATAAAACTTACGCCTTCTTTCTTTGCGTGAACATTTGGGCGGCGTTATGGAAATCTTCCCACATCGTGACGTAGACATGTGGGGGCGTGTTAGAACGAGCCGTTTTAGGTAGGCGTGGTTGACTCTTAACTTTTAAAGAATATCTCTTTGGATTTGAGACTTTAGTCTTTGCAACTTTACAGATCTTCTTTATGCACCAAGAGCTTGTAACACTCCAAAGAGAAAGGAAAAATTTAAATCGCATCATATGACCCCTTTAAATTTCAGTCTGTGCTTCACACAAAGCCATCATATGACTTCAGAAGACTTGGATTACTGTGCACAAGTCATATAAGGACAAATTTTATGGTTCTTTGATTACCATACTGGAGCTTTACAGACATTCTTCAAAACTTCCCTTTTGTGTTCCACAGAACGAATTCACATGAGCTTTAAGGGTGAAAGTAAGGATAAATTATGACAGAATTTTCATTTTGAGTGAACTATTGTTTTAATGGGTTCACATCTTATGTGACCCTCAACACGCTATGCATCTTCTAAGCAGCACACAGCGCCGCTGGGCCTCACAGTAGTGTTTACTTGCTACTACATTATTCATACGAACAGCAGGGACACATAACTCCAAATCCCGAGCTGACCAAACCTGAGCTAAAGTGCACTTGGCTCAGGACCAGTAATTTAAATTTCTCACCTGTGGAGTCCACTAAATTCTGTCTCAGTCTAAGTTTACACGACAACGGTGTAGTCAAAAATTGAAAAGTTTTTCCCTTGCGTTTTTAAAGTTTCACGTATACACGTCAACATTTTCAAAACGATTTGCGTTTACACATATCCGCGAAAACGGCCAAAAACGCTGTACTACGTATGCCAGGCCAGTAGTTGGCGCTGTCACCTTGCTAGTAAACAGTACCTGTAGAGAAGTGACGATTTTATGTTGTATATGATGTGTCTCCGCTGTTGGTTGTAATATTGGTGAAGTAAATCCACACTTTGCTGAAGAAGCGTTAGCAAACTCTTAAACAGCAACAACAGTACCATATACTCCGCCATTGTTGTGTATGTTTGTTCGTGCTTGCCTACACGTACTGCGCACGCGCATGACGTCACCGTTTTCAAAGATTCCCGTTTTGGGTGTTTACACGGAAACGATAACGGTGCTGTTTTCAAAAACTTGCACTTTGAAACCCGTTTTCAAAAATATGCGTTTTCAGTCCCCAAAACGCCGTTGTCGTGTAACAAACAAGCAAAACGCATAAAAAGTTTCCCGTTTTTGTCTGAAAACGTTGTCGTGTAAACGGCCCCTAAATGAGAGACCAGCAAACTCATTATAGCAGTGACTCCATTCAATTATAACCAGCAAATTCATACACGAGCGAATTAAATCAACATGCACACTGTGGAAAATGTCCACTAATTTGTAGTGTTATGGCATAAAATGGCTTGGCATGCAGTGATTTCACCAATAAATTCTGAATGTAGTAAGAAATTGCCATTAAATCTTCAGGTGCGTTCCTTGCTGGCCCTTTAATAATATCCAAACCAACCTATGAACAACCATTAACTCGTGACTGATTAAACTATCAGACAGAATAACATCAACAAATACTCTGAGAGACCGTGAATCTTTGCTAGGGATGAATATTTCAGCAGATTTGATATTACTCTGGGCTGACAGCAAACCTGAGAGAGAGCATGCATTATTCATGTCAAACGAGAGGAGAGAATAACATCAAATGTTCTCTGTCTCCTTTTACTCGGAGAATTCTCTGTCGCATACTCCACAGACCTGGAACCGGAGGCTGCATATTCAGCTCAATGTGAAAAGAACAGAACGAAGAAAGACAGACAGGAAGAGCGATCATCTTGGCAGTTCCTCCCACCTATCTGCCTCTCAATGTCGGCTGCTTCCTCTGGTGTGGCCCTGGGCAGGACGCCCGGGTCGCTGAAGCTCGCCCGGAGCAGCATTCCCATCACAAAGACGAACAGCACTCCTCCGATGGCCGGAATGGCAGGAGTCAGGTTTGATGCCAGGAATGGGCAGCTGGAAAAGAGGGAGCAGAAAAACTGGCTGTGAAGGTATTGTATTGCTAGTAAATCCCACCAGTAGTAAATACATGAGATATGAAGGGGAAGCAACAAACATACGCTCATGATCATGCAAAACTGTCAAGACCTCTTTTTTTAATCATCCTGTCTTTTGGCTGCATTTACAGTCAGTCTGCTATGTAATAACATTATAACAATGTTATTACAATGTAATAAATACTCTAGTTGTGCAATATGGTGATATATTGTAGATATCATTGTCAGAGTGTAAGCATCACCAAAATAGCACTGCAAAAATAATGACTGATTCAAAAAAGCATAGGAAACACTTCCTCTGTCTATACTGTAAGGCTGCTTTGACACAATCTGTATTGTTAAAAGCGCTATATAAATAAAGGTGACTTGACTTGACTCTGCAATTGGTTAGTCTACAACAGCCTACAAATAGTTCACATATGACCGATATATGTGACCCTGTCTTAAGTCGCTTGGGTATATTTTTAGCAATAGCCAAGAAAACATTGTATGGGTCAAAATTATAGATTTTTCTTTTATGCCAAAAATCATTAGGATATTAAGTAAAGATCATGTTCCATGAAGATATTTTGTAAATTTCCTACCGTAAATATATCAAAACTTAATTGTTGATTAGTAATATGCATTGCTAAAGACTTAATTTGGACAACTTTAAAGGCGATTTTCTCAGTATTTTGATTTTTTTGCACCCTCAGATTCCAGATTTTCATGATGTATGATGATGTATAAATCTCAATTTCAAAAAAATGTACCCTTTTGACTGGTTTTGTGGTCCAGGGTCACATATATGAGATACAGGCTAATGCAGTTTATTAAAAAAGTTGAGACTCATAGTTGCAAAAATTTCATCTTACTTGTCTTATAGAATGTTTTCTGAAAATTCACCAAAAACTTTCAAACAGAAATTGTGAATTATTCATTTACAAGGCTGTTGGTAGATTCTGGATCTGATAACAAAGGAAATCCAATGCCAGTTTAAAACCAGCTGAGCAAACACAGTTATTAGCCAATACTGATCATATAAAAATGGCCAAATATGGGCTGATTTATTACTCTGGCCAATATAGTTTAGCACTACTAATTAAAATCATATTCTATTAAGCAAATGCATTCTTCAGCTAGAAATTTAGTCTCGGATGTGTACAGTTATTTTAATAGTTGTGCCGGGTGCTGTGGACAAGAACATCGGTTGGCCGCGCTTTATTTTAAGGTGAAGTTTTTACAGTGTAATTACAAAAATAAGTACTGAGTAACAGGGTCAGAAATTATCTGGGGCTTGGGGCCACCAAAATGAATAAAAATACCCCCCAAATTCAAGATAATGTCATTACTTAACCACATATAGGGTTAAGGTTAGGGTTAGTTACTTGTAATTATGCATCATTTACTGTTATTACTATAGGTAAGTACATGTAACGTGTAACTACGTCACTTTAAAATAAACTGTTACCCATATGTTATATAATAAATAATAATAGACAATACATTTACATTTATGCATTTAGCAGACGCTTTTATCCAAAGTGACAGCCAGCTTGGTATCAAACACAGGAGTGATAAAATAACAGAGTGTGAATAAGCTACACGATAATAATCTAAATCTAATGCATTTTGGGGGGATTTGGGATAAAAATATACAAAACTGTATCCCAATTAGCTGTTTTGTACACTTAGAAGTTAATGAAATGTACCACCATCTGTTTCGAAGCATAAGCAAATGGTCTGTGGTACAAGGCCCAAAATCTGCCTGCCATAATATCCAATGGTATAAAGACTCCAAGACATAAACATTTAAAAATGGTCTGCACTGCAATCTGATGGCTGCTAAATTGGCTAAGCACAACTAGGCAGAGCAATTGAATTAGCCAAAATGGTCAGATGCTATCGACTATAGCATGTTAAAATAGCAATCCCCTGAGGGACATTTTAAGAATGCTATATTGTGTTAACCACTGCTTCTAATGTCACTATCAGCTTTACAGCTCTAAAGATTCCTTGTGAAGTGGTCTCCAAGGAACAGTTTTCAGGTTGTTGTGACAGACTGAGAGGTTACAGGGTCACTGCATCCTGACACACAAGGACTTTCACCACGGCAAGAGTTCCAGTCTATTATCAAGTCACATTGTATAAATGGAGATTGAGGTTTCTGAACTCAAAAGTCTAAAGGCTAGACTACAGAAACTGTGCTGCTGAATTTAGAGATGTCAAGAAACTCAAAACTGATTTGTCTATCCCATTCCACATCGTTTGTTCTATATGTATGTATTTTTATCAAGAGACAAATGTTCAGAGGATTACATAATATTATTTTCTCTTTAAAGGAATGTTCAGGTTCAATATGGACAATGGACAGCATTTGTGATATCGATTACCACTAATACTATTGACAATGGAACAAACCGCTACACTGGGATAAAGAAAACAAAAACTACACATTGTTTTAGAAGTATAGCCACACGACTAAAACATTATGCATTACTGTTCAAAAGTTTAGAATTGGTAAGTTTTTATTGTATTTTATTTTTATCTATCCATCTATCCATCTATCTATCCATCCATCCATCCATCCATCCATCCATCCATCCATCCATCCATCCATCCATCCATCCATCCATCCATCCATCCATCCATCCATCCATCCATCCATCCATCCATCCATCCATCCATCCATCCATCCATCTATCTTTTGAAAAAGTATCTTATGCTCAGCAAGGCTGCATTTGTTTGATCAAAAATAGTCAAAAACAGTAATATTATGAAATATTGTTACAATTTTAAATAACCATTTTATATTTTAATACATTTTACAATGTAATTTATTCCTGTGATGCAAAGCTGAATTTCCAGCATAATTACTCCAGTCTTCAGTGTCACATGCTCAAAAAAACATATCTTATTGTTATCAAATTTGAAAATGTTGCTGCTTATTATCTTTGTGGAAACCATGATACGTTTTTTTCAGGATTATTTAATGAATACCAAGTTTACACTATCTCTTTAAAGTCATTTTTGATCAATTTAATGCAGCCTTGCTGAATAAAAGCATAAATTTCCTTTCAACTAATTTACATATAAGGCTAGTTTGATAAACTCGGTTACTTGTATAACTACTTGTATCGAAAGTTATACAAGTTATATATACAATTTTCAACTTCATGACCATGTTAAGCTAGTAAACATGATAATTTTATGATGCATTTATGTGCAGGGATACTAGAAAGAGACGTGATATAACTCTCTGCAAACTACAGTTTAAACTCTGCATACTGCTTTCATTTCAGTTAGTCTTAGTGCTTGAACCATTTCCTGTTTTTATTCCCGCTTATGATACACGAGCTGAATGCATTCAAAAGGGTGTTTTGCATTCAATCTAACCATCATTCTTTGCTTGGAATGATTTAGGAGTAAACATTTTGTGCTGAACTGCGCAACAAACCAACTGCCTTTCACCACTAATGTGTTTCCGTCTGTGGTTTCAGCTATCTGTGTTTAATGGATCACAAAACCTCTGTAATGACTTTATAATCGTTTCAAAAAGCATGACAAGACTAGCCCTAGAGCAAAGAAAAATACAACTGTGGGCTGGGTCGTCACATTGTTTCCTAGGAGACACAGGCTGTTCCAAAAGAACACAAAGATCGGGAAAGGGAAACCGTCGCCATGGAAACAGGGCCGTACCACGACTATGTTTTGGAAGTTGTGGTATGGAATGTATGGGGCTCGGTGATGCTGGGGGATGGGACACTGGAAAATCTCCGCTCCACACGTCCCCTTCTCCAAAGCAGCCGCCTCAGGATCACACTGAGAGATTCTCTAACAACCAGCGGAGGCTTACAGGCAAACATGCTTCGAGTAAAGCAAAAAAATAAAAAATAAAACCCTGAGCACAAGGCTCTCTTGTCTGAAAATGTCAGGAATCCAAATGTTATACGTCAATAGTTTTGACTCTGGTTTAGTTAAACTTCACCTGACCTAAAAACACAAGGGGATCCTTACAGCTGCAGTGTGTTGGAAGTTACGTGGACTGAAGTAATTCTATTACACCAGATTTACCACTTGTAAATGTCCTTCAGTCTTAGTGAGAGGGTCGAAATTACTGCACTGGCTTGAGCGGAACTGCACTTCAGGATCCCAGACCACATTCAATTGCTGCTCACTCAAATGTCCAGGTATAAACGAAGCACAGAACACTTTTTATCAAGAGTAATCAAGAAGAGGGACCTACACAGAACTTTCAAAGCTAGTTATGGTCTCACAGATAAAAAAAAATTGCTTGTGTTTGCATATTTACACCATTAATGTCTAGTGCTTTCATGAATGTGGGATAGAAGTCATAACATTTTGAAAGCACTACCCATTTTTGGACTTTATCATCAGTAATCATAATGACCACCTCAAACTCAAAAACAAAACAGTACTGTAGTGTACAGCGATGGTATCAGTTGGTAATATTGGTATTGAATGATTTCTGTATTCATATCATGGTATTGCTCTGAGGTGCTTCCAAAAATACTACACTCTAAAAAAATGCTGGGTTAAATACAACCCAGTGCTGGGTAAAATAGGGGCAAACCCAGCAATTGGGTTGTTATCACAGAACACTTTTTATCAAGAGTAATCAAGAAGAGGGACCTACACAGAACTTTCAAAGCTAGTTATGGTCTCACAGATAAAAAAAAATTGCTTGTGTTTGCATATTTACACCATTAATGTCTAGTGCTTTCATGAATGTGGGATAGAAGTCATAACATTTTGAAAGCACTACCCATTTTTGGACTGACTTTATCATAATCATAATGACCACCTCAAACTCAAAAACAAAACAGTACTGTAGTGTACAGCGATGGTATCAGTTGGTAATATTGGTATTGAATGATTTCTGTATTCATACCATGGTATTGCTCTGAAGTGCTTCCAAAAATACTAGGTATTTTATCATGGGACACTCCTAAAAATAAAGCTTCTTGTTCACAGCAATGCCATTAAATAATCCTTTGGGGTTTCCCAAGGCAGTGGTTCCCAACCCTGGTCCTGGAGGCACCCCAACACTGCACGTTTTGCATGTCTCCTTAATCAAACACACCTGATTCAGGTCATCAGCTCATTAGTAGAGCTTCCAAGACCTGAAATTGGTGTGTCAAAGAAAGGAGACATGCAAAACGTGCAGTGTTGGGGTGCCTCCAGGACCAGGGTTGGGAACCACTGCCCCAAGGAACCATCTCTTGTTAGTGTGAATAACCTTTTTTTCCACACTATAAAGAACCTTTTGTGCAATGCAGAGGTTCCATAGGTGTTCAAGGTTCCTCATTATCCCATAAATGCCAGAAAAGTACCTTTATTTTTAAGAGTGTATGTGGCCTAAAGACGTATGTGCTAATGTCTGGAGTAGAGAGAAGACACTGAATCTACTGGTTCAATGTACTTACTCAAAGGCAAAGAAGAGGCCACTGGTCACCAAAATGAGAACCATTGTAAGATAGAAGACCCCAGTCTGCTTTGCCATCATGATCCTGCCGTTGCAGTAAAACTTATTTCGGCCAGGAAAAACCTGCCATTTCCTTTTGATCTTCTTCTTGGTGTGTGGAGTGTCCATGGATGAGGAGTTATGTGTGCAGATCTGATTGTACTGGCACTCTCGGATGGGCTCCTCAACCCCGAGATGCATGTTGCCTGTCATCTACCCACCAGCAATAAAACGCAACTTTAAAGCAACACAAGTGAATCAGAATTCAAACGTCCTCAAGGAACTAACGAGACATCTGGATCTTGAAGAAACATCTCTGATCTGATGGAGGAAGCATTACACAACCCAGGAACCATTTCCTTATCTCCATGTTTTATTGAAATCTTAAATGTTTTAAATGCATTGCGTTAGAAACGCTAATATGTGCATCCGAAACGATGGGAAAGCAATAAGATCCGCGTGTTTGGTTTACATGTTTGTTTGCCCAGCGCTGGGTTGTATTTAACCCAGCATTTTTTAGAGTGTATGTATTTTCTCATGGGACACTCTTAAAAATATAGCTTCTTGTTCACAGCAATGCCATTAAATAATCCTTTTGGGTTCCCCAAGGAACCATCTCTTGTTAGTGTGAATAACCTTTTTTTTTTCCACTATAAAGAACCTTTTGTGCAATGCAGAGGTTCCATAGGTGTTCAAGGTTCTTCATTATCCCATAAATGCCAGAAAAGTACCTTTATTTTTAAGAGTGTATGTGGCCTAAAGACGTATGTGCTAATGTCTGGAGTAGAGAGAAGACACTGAATCTACTGGTTCAATGTACTTACTCAAAGGCAAAGAAGAGGCCACTGGTCACCAAAATGAGAACCATTGTAAGATAGAAGACCCCAGTCTGCTTTGCCATCATGATCCTGCCGTTGCAGTAAAACTTATTTCGGCCAGGAAAAACCTGCCATTTCCTTTTGATCTTCTTCTTGGTGTGTGGAGTGTCCATGGATGAGGAGTTATGTGTGCAGATCTGATTGTACTGGCACTCTCGGATGGGCTCCTCAACCCCGAGATGCATGTTGCCTGTCATCTACCCACCAGCAATAAAACGCAACTTTAAAGCAACACAAGTGAATCAGAATTCAAACGTCCTCAAGGAACTAACGAGACATCTGGATCTTGAAGAAACATCTCTGATCTGATGGAGGAAGCATTACACAACCCAGGAACCATTTCCTTATCTCCATGTTTTATTGAAATCTTAAATGTTTTAAATGCATTGCGTTAGAAACGCTAATATGTGCATCCGAAACGATGGGAAAGCAATAAGATCCGCGTGTTTGGTTTACATGTTTGTTTGGATAACTCCCTCATTGCAGATGTCTATCCTCAACACAACAGGACACAGAGGCATGTGGACATCATGCCCAGAAATCTCGCTTAGTCCGCTGGCGTCTTAAAGCTTGTAACTCCGTTAATGCGGTTCAGAAGCGCTCCGATGAAACCAAATCCACTCAAAACATTTGGAATATAACGTTAAGAACGTCCTTCCGATGTCCTCGTAATCCCGTTGACTGGGAGGCTTCAATGCACGGTCGGCAGCTAGAAATCTAGTTCTGACGCCGCATGCACAATAATGCAACAGCAAACAAACAGAGGCGGGTGTTTAATCATCTGTATCGATGATGATGATGAAGGAAAGAGAGAGAGGAAGGATCGCTGTGCGCAGGAGTGGATCCCCGCGTGAGCTGCACGAGCTCTGCTTCTTCTTTAGGTTTTGACTGCATGAGCTCACAACACACGATGACCCTATAAACAGCGGCGCCGTCTCAAATCATAGCCAGCTGTCTATGTAGACAGCATATTTGGGTGTGCTCAAAACAAAGTGAGTTACGGTTTAAAACTTAGTGATCTGTCAGTACAGCATTTCGAGGTTGTGCCTCAAAACCCAGTGAGCTGCAAAACTGGACCACGTTTTTTGGGAACCATATTTCAAAACCTATTTTTGAGCATATGTCTCAAAAGAGTTAATTGCCAGCATACACTCCTTTTAGGGGCATGTATTTCAAAAGTGGGTAAACTTTTGACACAGACCAATTTTGTAAATGTATCTCAAGACAGAGTGAACGAGTTGCCTATGTAGACAGCATAAAGGCGCTTTATTTGTGCTTATGTCGTAGCATCAATAAAAACACTTAACACAATAAAATAAGAAAATATTTCATAATGTTTTTAAATATTGTAATAATAAAATATGACAACATAAACATTTGAAACGACTGAATATTAAGAACAGACAGCTCTTCGTCTCTGTCTGTGATGCCCCGCATGTTGTCTAGGTAGGCAGCTCACTCGGTTTTAAAACACAGCCGGCCTGATCAGCGGAATCTCAGTCCTCCTCTCACCGACACATATCTAGTGCCATACAATTTCACTTTATTATGAGTTTGAAGATATTGTTTTATCGTGATGAAAAATAAAACACAATACATATACCTACAGAACTGCGGATATCCGCACAACACAAACCCCGACAGTCTTATTGTTACTCTGCCATTATTTGAATTTGGTTTGATTTTATTCTTGTAATCACGTCTCAATTATAAATACACTTTAAGAGTAAGAATATAACAGCAGGCACGCTTATAATGCCATCTATGCCCAGTGAAAGCTGTACGTCATTTCCACTATTTCTCTCTGTATTATGAAGCGTTCCGCCTGACGTGTTTCCGCCGGAAGTCTGTGTCAGTCGGACCCGTTCAAGATGTCAGTGGAGCAGGCGCGCGCGAGTGGGCCAGTCAATGACACCGAAGACGACAAATCACACTTGATAAAAGGTTTGATGTATTTTAATCGCATATTCGACCATCGATGTTTATGAATTATTCGTCGATATCACTCATTTGGATAACTGACCTTATTCTGATTAATCATACATTAAAGCAGAAACCTAGACCTAAATGTTATGTAACGAAACTAGTCGTATGGGTCATTAAAAAAAAAAAAAAGTTTTATTCATAATCAAAGCTGAATAAATAAGCTTTCCATTGATGTATGGTTTGTTAGGATAGGACAATATTTGGCCGAGATATTT